ACATATATCCTGTTCTGTTGTTGCCCCTTGCTAAGTGCAGAGAAAGGAATAGAACGACTTACAACCGAGGGAACAGACACACAAATGGGAACAAAACAACACTGAAGTAAAATATTTTGTGTATTTGTTGCATGTAAGCCAGGCTTTACATTTACATTTTTACATATTTTTCAAAGTTTTTAAATACATTTTGCTCTCCTAGAATTCCTTTTCTCTGCTAAGAATTATTTTTAAAAGTCCTTGCCTTTTTACCAAAACTGGTAAGTTGTACAGAAAATCCTCAATTTATACATTGTTCTGATTAACAGAGAAATGTCCTGATGCTGTAGGGCAATTCATGATGAATTTAGTTTCTTAATTAGTGACCAATTGGAACATCTCCAAATCTAGTCATCTCTCCTTCCTATTTTCCTCCAAGTGAAATATGTAACTTCAAATTGACTACAATTTTGTCTCTGTTTCTTTTATTTCATGAACTGACTCTGTCAAACCTTAAGAGTGCAATTCTTCAAATAACCTCTGATTTTATTATGACTTCAGATTCCTGTTCTTCGGGAGATCAGACATGATTATATCTGTGGCTAAAATCAATTGCTTTTAATATAAAAAAAATGAAGCACATCATAACTGATGTTGAACAGAGAAGAAATCTGCAGATTTCTATGAATCGATTCATAATAACAGGTAAGGTTTAGGGAAGAAAGACTTTAGAAACAGGAAGGCCACCAAATACTAAAACAAAGCATCTGGAATAGAAGAAAAGTTTCTGAAATCAAATGCTCAAATGAGCCTAAGGACAGGAACAAGGTACAATAGCAATCAAAGAGGAACACGTGAGAGACAGAAGGCATGAGGTGAGGCTGTACAGAACAAAAGAAAAGAGGAAAAAGTAAATGATAAAGCACTGGAATAAACTGAGGACTTGGATTTTCAGCAGTGCCGAGCACTGCTGGAAATCTAGCTCCTAATTCTTAATGGACTGGTTCATCACAAAATCATTCTGAAATACCTGAAGGATTTATGGGTTCACTTATTTAAAAGCAGAAACCTACACAAAAATAACTTTACTTAAAATAAAGGAAGTGACATGTCTAACTAAAGCATCATAAATTTAATTGTCAGGCACAAAGGCAAAGACACCAAACCTTAAGAGGAAATAAACGTGTTTACTTTCAGCTTGAGTAGCTGAGACACAGATAAAAAGGTGGCAAAATTCTCTAACTTTATCTAGTGTTCACTGTCTTTATGGGAATGGATGGATTCCTGATGACTAATAGAAAATTGTTAGTCTTCAAGTATGGCCAATATAGTGACAGTATTACTATATATTAACCCATACAATTTATATAACTATGGCATAGTACAAGCACACAAACATGGCAGCTAAGTAGGTATTTCTAGGAACCACAGATGCACCATCAAGATTCCAAGAGGTGGTTTGAGTTTATGCTCAGAATTTCATCAAGTGAAACAATTGAGAGATTGAATTTTTAGCAGTGCTTGCAGTGCGTGATATTTAAGAATATTAACTCTCAATTTCTAAAATTAGAATGGAAAAATCTCGTTTTGGATTGGTTTCATTCTTTAATTTTTTTCATCTGCAAAATTCATTCCCGTACACAAAACTTCAAGTACCATAAATAATAAAACACATATATGAAAAATGTAGCAGCTGAGCCATACAGGGCCAAGCAATAAAAGCTGATGTACACAATGATAAAAATTCATGAAAGCCTATAAAATGCATGACAAATTTTGCAAATTGATCAGGTGCTATGCCTCTGCTTAAATTCACAAAAGCACAAGACAGCTAATAGTATAAATCATTAGGAAAAAAATTATATTGAGAAGCATATAAAAACCATGTTTTTCCTAAAAATATGTGCCCAAGACATAGCCTAGTGGAAATAATGTATCCCTGTTGATCTTGCCTCACTAGTGTAGAAAAAGGACACTCAAGGTGTCCGAATTTCTGCACTTAGCCGTATGTCAGCTGTGCAGAAGAAAGCAGACTGTTTCAATCTGAGGCGAGCTTCGCTGAGCACCCACACGTGGTTTCTGGCTACCCATCTACCCATCATCCCTGGTTATCCTGCAGCTGCTTTGCCAACTGGTAATTCCTGCAATTCAACTATATGGTGAAAAGTTCAGCTACTATACTGGAGGATGAGTAACCTTCCAAGTTACTCTTGGAGGTTTCAGGTATTTCTCTTTTATAAAAGAATAACAGTGATATTGTCATTTTCCATACTTTTAGCACAGGTAAATTGCTCTTGTCATTTTGAAAAAACATCAAAAGTACTGTCCCCATCACAAAATGAATACTGGAACACTTAAGAAACTCCTACAGCATGTAGCTATGCTCCTTTTCTCTTTACCAGCTCTGGAACAAATGAAGGAAACAAGTAATAGGATTGCTTTACTCCAAGAAATCATTGTTATAATTTTTTCTGGTGCCATCGAAAAACTTGACAAATGCATCTGTTCTAGTTACTGAATAATGCCAACTGCCAGAATTTTTGTCTTGTCTACAGTTAGCTGTTATTCGGGTTAAACTGGCTCTGGCAAACTGCAAAAATATGATTTTTTTTTTAATAGAATTTATTGTGACAATTTGAGATAATCCTTGAAAATAAGCAGAAGCCATTCTGTGGAACTAGTAAGTGAAATAGAAGACCATTTGCTTCGACACATTTATTCCCTGCCATTTTGTTATTTTATACTTCCAAATTTTACTTCATTTTACAGCCTCAGAAACTATGAGCATGCATATAAAGTTATTTTGCTTCTAACCTAGGAAAGGAACACCTTCTGTCTTGGGTTATTAGCATGCGGATATTGCCTCTACCTAATAATGCATTTTGTAATGCCTTAGGGGCAAATTTACCTTTTGAGTTACCTTTTGTGAAAGAAATCACACATGCAAGTGGCTGGTAATATTACCCAAAGGTAGGCACCAGGTTCCCAATTCTATATAAGATACACAGCAATCAATAAAAAACTAGGGCAGCACTTGGACACAATACAATAAATAGCCCTGTTGCTCATTTAGAATTATATAACAAGAAAAATAATTTAATCCAACCCAACCTTGGCAAAAATATTATAGAATCATAGAATTGATTGGGTTGGAAGGAACCTCAAAGGTGATCTAGTTCCAACGCCACTGCCATGGGCAGGGACACCTTCCATTAGACCAGGTTGCTCAGAGCCCCATCCAGCCTGGCCTTGAACACCTCTAGGTATGGGGCATCCACAACTTCTCTGGGCAACATGTTCCAGTGCCTCACCACCCTCACAGTAAAGAATTTCTTCCTAATATCTAATCTAAACCTGTTCTCTTTCAGTTTGAAAACATTCCACCTTGTCCTGTCACTACATGCCCTTGTAAATAGACCCTTGCCAGCCTTCTTGTTAGTTCCCTTTATGTACTGAGAGGTGCTCTAAGGTCTCTCAGGAGCCTTCTCTTCTACAGGCTGAACAACCCCAGCTCTCTTAGCCTTTCCTCATAGGAGAGGTGCTCCAGCCCTCTGGTCATCATCGTGGACTCCTCTGGGCTCGCTCCAGCAGATCTATGTCTACCCTGCGCTGAGGCCCTGAGCAGAAAGCAGTATTCCAGGTGGAGTAGAGGGGGAGAATCACCTATATTTAACATTTCATTATAAACCACTTTTGAAAATCAAAGGTCTCTCTCAGCGCCATGTACGTGCCCAACTTTTGCCACCCTGAGTATAGCAGAATAATTAACTTGGCAGTTTTATGATGAATTTCACTCTCTGTACCCTTTTCAGGACAATGAAACTCTGTCTTGTCTCACCTTTAAATCACCCCTTCGACTTTTAACCCGGGTGATGGTGAGCACACAGCCTTTCCCAGCGAGGTGAGCCCTGCCAGGGGACAGACACAGAAGTGCACGTGTGCACCCACTGCCTCCACACACCTCCCGAGCGGTCTTGGTGCCACAGCGGGAAGGGCAGGCACCTCTCGGGAAGGCCGCAGTGGGCTCTTGCACAGTTTGAGGGCAGCGCCAAGAGGGGATCCTGGTGGACAACAAGCTGTCCATGAGCCAGCAGTGTCCTTGGGGCCAAGGCGGCCAGTGGTATCCTGGGATGCATTAGGAGGAGCAGGTCGAGGGAGGTGATCCTGCACCTCTACTCAGCTGTCGTGAGGCCCCATCTGGAATACTGTGTCCAATTCTGGGCTCCTCGGTAAAAGACAGACATTGAGCTCCTGGAGCAGGTCCAGCAGAGGGCAACAAAGGCTGATTAAGGTGATTAAGGTGATTAAGGGACTAGAGCATCTTTCTTACAGGGATGGGCTGAGGGAGTTAGACCTATTAAGCCGGGGCCGCATTGAGAGGCCTCATCATTGTATATAAATATCTAAAGTGGGGCATCAAGATGGAGCCAGAATCTTCCCGGTGCTGCCAAGCAACAGGACACGAGGCGAAGGGCAGAAACTGATACACAGAAGTTCCCAATGAATCCGAGGAAGAACTTCTTTACTGCGTGGATGACTGCAAACTGAAAGAGATTGCCCAGAAAGGCTGCGGAGTCTCGTTGGCGATATTCCAAAACCGTTTGGATGCACTTCTGTGCCACGTGCTCTAGGACGACCCTGCTTGAGCAGGGAGGCAGGACCAGGTGACCCACTGTTGTCCCTTCCAACGTGACCCACGCTGTGACCCTGTGAGGGGCGGGCAGGCAGCCCCACGCCCTCGGCGGCCGCGACTCCCCGGCCCTGCCAGCTCCGGGCGGCCCTGGCGCAAGCGCTGCCCGCGCTCAGCGGGCGGTAGGGGCAATGCTGCCGCCTGCCCAGCTCCCCGAGGTGCCCAAGTCGCTGCCTGTTCCCCATCGGCGCTGCCGGAGGTGCGGGCGGGCCGGGGCCGCGGTAACACGAAGCCGCACAGCTCAGGACGCTCGGCGGGACGAGAGCGGGCGCGGGCGGCGGGCGGGACGGAGCGGCGGGCGGGGGGGAGCGGCGCAGGACGAGCAGGCGAACGCTGAAACTGCTACATCCGGGCTGCGGCGGCGGCACCTGCCGCGGCGGGGGCCTCGGTGACATTGGGGCTCGGCGGCCGAAGAGGGAGGCAGTTGCGGAGCCTGCAGAGAGCGAGACCTTCGCGGCGCCCGCTGCCACCGCCACCGCCACCATGCTGCGTGTCATCGTCACCCACGCCAAGAAGCACCCGGCCGTGAGTGCCCGGCCAGGCCCCGGCCCCGCGCCCGCCCTCCCCTTTCGGCGCTCGGTGTCTCTGGCCCCGCCGGCCTCCCCTTTCTCGCCCATCCGCTCCTGGCATTCCTGTGGACGCCGGGCCGCTGGGCCGGCAGACACGGCCAGGTCCCTTTTGCCTCCGGTCTGTCCGACCTTGCTTGTGCCGCTAGGCCCAGGGTGGCTCCTGCGTTCTCCCTGTGCATCCCTTTGCCCTCAACGCCCCCACTCCCATGTTTTTACTGCATGATCGGAGAACAAGCGGTAGGGGCTGTTTTGGCAGTGGAGGGTTGGATGTTTGTCTTTCAAAACCTCACTGTTACAGTATTTTCGGTTTGGTTATTCTGCATGCAGCAGTATTTTTTTCATTCATGCCTCAGCTGGTGATGATTCCTCTGTGATCTCAGGGATGTACCACACACATGGAGCTTATGCCAGGGATTTAGAGGGCCACGTGTTTTACAGTGTGTGAGCTTGTTTTATAGTTTGCGATTGTGGAAATCAGTAAAGCTGTGTGTTAATACTATTTTGATACACTGTGCTATGATATTTAATTTTTTTTTGTCGTTGTTCCAGTTGATCCCTCTGTTTTTGATCATTGGATCTGGAGGTGTTGGCGCAGGCCTGTATCTCATGCGCTTGGCAGTGTTCAACCCTGAAGTCAGGTATGTATACAGTAATTACACAGTAATTTCCAGTGCCCAGTCCTCTTGCTGCATATATTAGACTTCACTGCCTTGATTTTTTTGTTCTCGGAGGCCTTAGTGTCTTGGTCCAGTACCATGACACTGTGTGAAGACTCCTTTGATTTAGAGATCTGTTAGTTTACTGTATGATATTTAGAAACTGCTGACAAAGGACTATGCCTTTTTCTATGGAAACTTGTTTGGATGTGTGACTCCATTGCCTAATAATCACAGTGTACATGCAATTTTTTTTTTATTTTGAAGATAGTGTGATTCTCTTAATATGCTCTCATATCTTGCATTTCTCTCAATAGCTGGGACAAGAAAAATAACCCAGAACCTTGGAACAAAATGTCTCCCAGTGACCAGTACAAGGTAAAATGAGAAATACAGATTTTTAGGAAATAAAATGTCACAAGTGTAGCCTGTTTGTTTAGGATGTTTGGTTATATTCGAAAGTAGCTGCATGAGTGATTTATTTCCTCTGCTGTGCAACATTTGTTTTGTCTCTAGAACTCACAGCAGAGAGATTTGAGTTTGAGATTTAAAACTTTCCTAGTGTTGGTTGATAATGGAGTCCGTATGAAAGCAGTCATATATATATTACATACATATATATATATATATATTGCACTGTGAGAAAAAGAGGAGCTATATGTGAGAGGAAGAATATACCAACTCATAATACTAAGAAATAAACTACAGGGAGAGGGACAAAACTTCAGAAGTTGTGACCTAAAGTTTCTAAGGTCTAAACTGTTGGCCTTTACTCATGAGAAGCACTACAGGAAAATGTCAGTGTTTAACAGAAATGCCAATTCAGTTCTCCACTTGATTGTTTGAAAACGAAACAGTTGTAAGTAACTGGGTGCAATAGAAATGTCAACTAGACCATGGCAATAAAGTGCCCCGTCCAGTTTTTTCTTGAACGTATCCAGGTATGGTGACTCCCCCACCTCCCTGGACAGCCCATTCCAATGCTTGAGAATCTTCCAGTGAAGAAATTCTTCCTGATGTACAACCTGAACCTCCCCTGGCACAGCTCGAGGCCATGTCCTCCTGTCCTGTCACTTTTTGCGTGGGAGAAGAGCCCAACCTCCACCTTGCTACACCCTCCTTACAGGTAGTTGTAGAGAGTGATAAGGTCTCCCCTGAGCATCCTTTTCTTCAGACTGAGCAGCCCCAGCTCCCTCAGCCACTCCTAATATGGTTCACTCTCTAGACCCTTCACCAGCTTCGGTGCCGTTCTCTGGACATGAATCATGTTTTAATCATGTTTTACAGAAATGCTGTTTTAGTAGATTGCTGTTAAGAATATTTGAAGATTATTCTCAAGCCATTTAAAAATCAAACCTAATGTGTTTTCAAAGCTACTGTCTCTTTGGTACCATATGTTACTATTCCAATCATTGAAATAAGCAAAAAAACCTCCACACTTCATAATAAAATATATTGTTGTTCCCTTAAAGTCCAGGAAGAACATAATACTTTGTTTTCATTACTGCTTCTGGAATGTCATAGTTTCTTAAATATCTAAATTAGGCAAATTCAACATAGTGCGTAGCACAAATTCTTTTAAAGAGCGTGTGCCTTGTGGAGCATTCCCCTTCTGCCTTAGCATGCAAACACAGCCTTGAGGTTTGCCATATTTGGGTGTGTGTATCATTGGGGATTTTTTTTTCCAAATCTGCAATGTGGGAAATGAAAAAGACAGATACTCTAAACTGAGGATCACTGTTTAGTAAAATCTTCTGGTATAAAAAGTTTTAGCTTTTGATGAGATTGTTTTTCTGTTGTAAACTTCACTTTGTTATATTAACTTCCTGAGTCTTCTCAAATAAAAGAGACCTGATCATTACTGTAGGAGTTGCACAGGAAGCTGTAGTTTGAATGTGCTGTAGGTTGTCTTGTTTTCTTTCAAAAGGTTAAACAAATTTAAAATTGTGCATAGTTAAAAATAATCAAGCTAATAGTTAAGGATTTTTTTTAAGAAAAACTGTAGCATCACGTGCTTGATATTAAGTCATGTGGGGAGGCCAAAATCTGCAATTAGCCTGTAAATTCATTGTGCTCAGTGCCTTTTTTGGTTGTTTTGAATTGCTTGTAATAGGATCCACTTATATTAATATAAACTGAGCATGTGATCTGTTCTTTACTTTCATTCTTCCTTGTCATCCTTTGCAGTTCTAGATGCAGCTACTTAAACCAAACTTGGCTTTTGCAAACTTGGCTCTAAATGTTCCATTGTGGTACTGTGTGTTCACATACAGCAGTACTGTGAGAAGTTCCTCTGAATGGACTATAGATTCTGGGGGTTAAAGAAGAAACACTGTAGGTTTTCTCTAGTTAAAGACATGAGCACTGCCTCATTTTAAATGAAGAGCTTCTAATACCGAATGGAGAATTAAAAAGTTACTGCTCATGAAAAGTTTGTATTTATTTATTTATTATTGTCCAGTTCACAGACACAAAATATGATTTCAGTTTCCTGACATGAGTTCAAATGATGCATATTTTTAGTAAATACCAGGGAAAATGGATAGTCAAGCTTCTTAACTAACTTTTTTACCCTTCTATTTCCTAGTTCTATTCGGTTAATGTAGACTACAGTAAACTGAAAAAGGACCGCCCTGACTTCTGAAAACACACTCATGTCCATAAGCTGCACAGAAAGGTCTTCCGGAAGCCGTCCGCACAGTTGTCATGCTTAATCATCCAGGAAATAATCAAACTTGCCTCACGCAGCACTAGGTCATGTTTAAAACTGTTTTGATGAGGCTTAATAAATGTTTGAAACTTGAAGTGTCTGCTCTTTCATTTTACAAAATGACAATATCCTCCTATTAACAGTTTTTGCTGTATGGTGTGTCAGATAGTAAACAAAAGCTAATTCAGTTCCTCAAAAAGAAAGCAAAGTTGTTTGGATGGGCTTCATACTCAGTCTGTTGACTTCAGAGAAATAATTGCATACTTATGCAGTTATACCAAACTAGAAGAACTTGAAAGTACTTATTTATATATGTATATATATTTGTTTTTAATTGCACCTGAATTTATGTACTTGCCACTTTAAGAAATTTTGGTAGCAGAGAAGTCAATGCCAAGAAGTCATTATCCAGCAGGGAGGCAACAGATTTTGCCATATATTGCTGGAAAGAAGGAAAAAAAAAAAGGCCAAGCTCTCTCCAAAAGCTTTTATTTCTTTTCTTTTGTTTGTTTTCTGAAGTCAAGCAGGTTTCTTAATAAACAGGAAGACAACTTTCAATATATAAAAAATAAAATTCTACGCACATACTAAAGATTTCCTGTGGATCACGGTTTTAAGGAAGGGAAGCACACAGCAGAACAGGGTGCAGGTTTCGAGAAATAATTAGCTACTGATGTAAGAACTAAAATACCTTTAGGAAGGGCAAAATCTTCTACTTTGTATTTGTCTGAGTCTTGCTATGAGAAGACAAAGAAAATACCTTGGCAAGTCTGTAACTAATGGTAGATTCTTTGTGCTTTTCTATGAACATCTGGCATTTCCTTAGATAAGGAATATAATTCTGGACTATGGCAGAGTACAGCTGTTGGTATCTTGAAACACTTCAAGTAGACTCTAAGAATGTAGATAACAAGAGGAGCTGCTATAAATAATAAGGATAGAATTAAAGAAATCAAGGAGCAAGAACTTCCATTGGAGAAGAAAAACTATTCTGTGGTAATTGCAAAATAGCTTGTGCGAAGACTTCATATTTTGTATGGAAAAATCTTGCAGGTAAGTTGATGGGGTTTATTTGGTAGCAGTTCAGGTTATCTTTGCATATACCAAAATGGCAGATTTACTCAGAGTTTCCATTTGGTTATTTGAGAGGCTCTGATGGAGTTTGAAGAAGAAAATGAGTGTTGTGAGAGATGTTTACAGTGGTGGGCAAAATCTGTAGGCGTCCTTGGGGACTGGTTGCTATCCGAATCAAAATATTTTTAGGAAGTAGAACATTCTGTTGCAATCCTTTTAGTTGTTCAGTTTTAAAAGTATGTCATGTAAAAGGAAGTTTGCTTTATAACTTTCCATTTGGCAGTTCTTTTAGATTTTATGTCTTCAAATGCGGACTGTGTCTCTGGTCAATATACAGGAAGTAAAGCTGATTCTTAGGTGAGGCAAGGTTGTTTCTTTTGGGCAGGGCTGAAGAGGGTGTAGGCTCATGTTTTTCTTAATAAAGGCACCTAAGATAAAAAAAAATTCTGCCCTTGACATGTTTCAAATATATTTAACAATTATTTAAGCTATTTAAAGCTTTATGGATTGACTAGAAAACAAAAAGGCAATTCATTCAATGCTACTTGTCCTTCCTTGTTGCAGCATACTTGCTGCAAAAAATATACAAAACTTAAAGTCTTCCAAGGTTTAATCGTTCTAAAAGTCATTATCTTGAGGGGACACTTGCACCTTTTCCTTTTAGGGATATACTTTTGTCCTATGTTAAGTAGTAACAGACAATAGTCACCATTACTTGCCAAACTTGAAACTAATAAGACATACTAAGAGTTTTTTTTCTTTCTTTCTCAATATTTAATGACTGAAATATTTAAAATATGTAACATAGTTTCTTTTTGGAAATTGTGTCAAATGAAGAATGCTGCATATTTTGGGTCGAGTTAGCAGCTCAACCAATTACTATTTTCATATACTATGTTGTATGCTGCAGCTATTTTTCTTATTATTGAACCCTCACACCTGTAAGGCTTTAGGCCATGCTACTTAATGCAAGTCTGTCTAAAGTTACTCTGGGCAGAAGTTAAGCACTGGCTTAAATCTTCAGCTTTAGGACGTAGAAAAATCAAGAAAAACCCCACCAACTTCACTAGTAGCACTACAGTGTGTGTTCTTCAAATTCCTAAAAGAAAAGTTCCACAATATTTGATATAGTAAACTTAAAGATTGATAAAATACCCTAGTAATTTAGTTCTGTGGTCTGTTATTAGTTCCTCATTTTTTTTATGGGTTGTGTTTTGGTTTTTTAAACATACAAATGCACTTTGTTACTCCCTGGTTCCCTTTTTTTGTTTTGTTGTTTTCTTATTTTGTATATTGTTTTTGTTCTTAAAATTGCAGTCCTGCAAGGCCATAAATTCCTGTTTAGTTTTTTTCACTCTGGGTTTTCCTTAGGGGCAGAGGAACCATTTATTCCATTCAAAACCAAAATGCCTGCTTGGCCCTAGTTTATAAGTGCTTGGTAGTGGTCTGTCAGTATCCAGTATATGTCTTTGCATTTTCATAGGATGCTGTTGTTGAAATAGAAACAGTTTGGCAGATTTGCCGTATTCTATCTGCATTAAAATATTAAACGATCTTTAAAGCTGCTTCTTTAAACACATAATCTACCTCTTTCTTCATGAAGTCAAAGATGGTATTCCCTGAAGACAGCATGAAGAAACAAGTGCAGTTTGAATTCTTAGGATTCTAGCTTCTTATGTTTATCTTTGGCTGTTAACAACCGAATCCCATCATTAGTAGGAAAAATGAAATCCTTCATTAACACCATGGCATGCCATTTTGCTTGAGCAGATTTTGTGTTTTCTGAAAGAGACTGACATTCTGCTGTCTTAGTTTTGACTGAGATGGATATAGCTGCTAAATTTCAGTTTGTGGCAGGTTTTTTTTGAATAATCAGTGTGGGCCTGGCCTGCGTGTCCTGTTCACGAGCCACATACAGAAGATTCCTCTCTTGTTTTTTGCAGTACAGCATTTTACCTGCCATTGTCATATTTCTATTAACACAGTTATTCTGTGCCTCCTTGTCAGTGGTCCTGATATGCAGGAGGATGACTAAATCTGGAATTAATTCTGCCCATCTAGGATAGAAAGACTTACAGGTTTCCATAGTTCTTGCACATGAACACATACTCCATGCAGCATGTTGTAGGATTTATTTGCCTGCAGTAAGGAAAGCTCCTTGTGGATATAAAAAATCTAGCAGCCTCTAAGAAATTAGACAGGTGTGCCTGATATTAAAAGAATAATTTAAATTTTCCTAGGATTTATACCCAAATGTCATCTGAGGCATACATTTCAGATGTGTTTTCAAGCTCTGCTTTACTTTTAAAGATAGCTTAGTGTGTGACTATTGAATGACCTTTAAAACTGAGCAAATGTGTGTTTAATGCTGATTGGTCTGTAATACTTTGTCAGAAAGAGAGGAAAAGTTATTACAGGAATTTAAAAAATGTATTTCGAATGAGTTATTGAAAAAATTAGAGATGTGCGAGTACAGACAAAGTTATTGTTTCTACTTGTTGACCAGCCTTACTATGGAAGCAACTGGATGAGCTAGAGAACCATTTTTCCAGGACAAACTGAAGCACAACAGGTCTGTGAGAACTCCAGAAAACTGGTGTTCACTTGCATCATTGCCACACTAGGTTTTTTTTATATTACTTCCTAGAAAGCTTACTCTTCAGTCCTCTGTTTTGAAATCCAGAAGTTGGTTGACTTCACACCATTGGAATTTCATGATCCATCCACTTTTCCTTACACGTAGTCTTGACATCATTTAGTCATGAGAAGTTCCTGTGAAGCTAAAATAATTTCATCTCCTGCTCTGATCTTTAAGCTTCTTGAGAGTGTGTCTGGACACTGTTATGATGGCATATTTTCCAAATGTGTGCTAATTCTGGTGCCATATGTTTTGGATGAAAGTTGGTGGGGTTTTTTTCAATAATTTCAAAATGTTATTATCTATGGTTGGTGAGGCTTAACACTTTCTTAGTAAGAACGACAAGAGCCAGTACAGTGCTAGAAAATGCACAACTCTTCCGTTCTTGAGAAGCAAATCTGTATTTAGCATCCAGAATAAGATTTATCTGAGCCAGAAAAGTATTCTACATTTTTTCTTTTTCTCCTTTTTAAAAGTTTCATGTAAATGAAACTATAAAGTAATTTTTAGACTTTCTAAGTGAATATTATTCTCACAGTTAAAAGGTGAAAAGCCTAAGAGATCACCACAGTTGCTCTCTTTTTTTTTCTATTTTCAGTCAAAATCTGTAATACTTTAGGTAATGTGAAATGTGAACTTAAGTATGCTAGTCAAGGCAAGAAAAATGCATTCAAACTTTTGATAGTTTGCTATCAGCTACCTGACATTCATTTGCTACTAGAATTGGCACAAGACTGGCAAGTGGAACTCCTGCAAGAAACAGCAAGTTCTGAAGATGATCAGAAAACAGTTTGTTGACACATGGCAATGCATACATTACAAAGAAGAATAGGAATTCTGCTGCTAATATTCATGGGTATTATCAATGCTTTATAACAGACACCTAAAATAATATTTCTAGGGTCATTAATTTGAATTACTTTGGACAAAATAATACACTACACCATTTACAGTTCATCACTTTAATGTAAAGACAACTTTACAAGAGAACTGCACAAGCCATAACCCAATAGACAAATTTATAGACTTGTTTTTTTCGCATTGGAAGCAAACTAACTATGAACATGAAATGTTTTCTAATTTTAGTTTCCCTACTGCAGGCAAATGAAACAAACTGCTGAGAAGGTAATGAAAACAGATTACTTAATGGTGAAAAATCTGAGTGCCATTCTTTCTCTACCAGTGGTGCCACTGCTGGAATTTAATGGGGTGGCACCAGTGTGTCTGAATGAAGATTTTGATCCTAGCTATTTAAAAATAGGGTTGAATCTAATAAGATTTTGCCAGTACTGATAGCTTTTTTTTTTTTTTCCTAGACTATAAGCAGGAAGATAGCTGAACTCATCAACAGGAAGAAAATGGAATTTCATCCCAGTTTCAAAC